CTGTGGAATCGAAAAAATTCCTAGGATATGTAATGTCCAAAAAGGAGATTGAGGTGAACCCAGACAAGGTTGAGGCCGTGCAGCAAATGGAACCCCCTAAAACAATAAAAGATGTACAGTGTCTAATAGGTCGTCTTGTCGTTCTACACAGATTCATTGCTAGGTCGGCAAAAAAATGCCTCCCATTCTTCAAAGCTTTGCGGGAACCCAAGAACTTCCAGTGAACTGATGAGTGCCAGCAAGCTTTCAATGAACTAAAACAGTACTTGGCATCACCACCTTTACTTTCCAAGCCTGTTGAAGGACAGATGTTGTACCTGTATCTCGGGGTTATAAATGAGGTAGTCAGCTCAGTTCTCTTAAGAGAGCAAGATAAACATCAGAGACCCATCTACTATACAAGAAAAGTCTTGCAGGGTGCTAAATGGAACTATCCAATTGTCGAAAAGGCTGCTTTTACACTCGTCTGCACCGCTCAAAAGCTAAGGGCATATTTCCAATCCCATGAGATTGCCGTATACACCGACCTGCCACTATGGAAGATATTGTAGAAATTGAAACTTTTTGGTCGACAAATTAGATGGGTGGTAGAGCTGAGCGAGTATGACCTCAAATTCTAACCGCGCACAACTATTAAGGGCCAAGCTGTAGCAGATTTCTTGACACAATGTCATCCAGCGGTTGTAGACGAAACCACCAAGTCATACTCGATATAGGCGTTATACGTGGATGGGGCTGCCAATGTTAAGGGATCAAGGGCAGGAGCAATGTTACTAAGTCCATATGGTTTCAAATCTGAGCACGCCTTGAGATTCAAAGTTTAGATAACTAATAATGCTACTGAATATGAAGCACTAATATATGGTCTGAAGTTAGCATCCGAGTTGAAAGCGCAAAGCATAAGAGTCTTTAACGACTCCCAGCTTGTAGTGAATCAAGTAAATGGAAGTTGTGACATTAGAGACCCTCAACTCGGTCGATATGCTTCTGTGGTCAATAGATTGAAATCCAATTTTGTCTCATTCCAAATTGACAAAATGCCGAGAGTGGACAATCGACGAGTTGATGAGCTATCGAAGTTAGCTTCATCACAGGATATCAGTTCTCAAAGAATAACATTTGTCGAAGTACTGGACGCTCCAAGCTATACCAACCTAACAGTTGAGTGTCAAGTACTAAGCATAGATCCTTCCTCACCGAGCTGAACTACACCTTTGATTAATTATTTACGAAGTGGTGAACTGCTAGAAGATCCATCTAATGCTCAATTGATTAGACACAAGGCAGCACATTTCACGCTAGTTGAGGATCAACTATACAAGCGAGTAGCTTTAATGCCTTTGTTACGTTGCCTCACTCCTTATGAAGCTGAATATGTTGTAAGAGAAGTTCATGAAGAAGTGTGTGGCACACACATTAAGGGAAAAACCCTAGCTCGAAAGATCTTAAGGCACGGATACTATTGGCCTACCATGATTCAGGATGCACAAAATTATGTCAAAAAATGCCCAACCTGCCAGTTCAACATTGATGACATTCCCATGCCAAGCGAGAGGCTATCGTTTCTTATATCACCCTGGCCTTTCGCCCAATGGGGAGTAGATCTGCTTGATCCTTTTACAAAAGGCAAGGAAGGTTGTACACACCTTGTGGTTGCTGTGGACTATTTCACTAAGTGGATAGAAACCAAACCGTTGTCCACAACGATTGAGAAAAAAATAGAGGAATTTCTGTTCAATTCCATATTGTGTAGGTTCGACATTCCTATGCGAATAATTACTGATAACGGACCTCAGTTTCGAGCAATGGCGCTCAGGTCGTTCTGTGACGACTATAACATTGAGCTGACTCTCATTTCTGTATATATTCCACAGTCAAACGGACAAGCAAAATCAGCGAATAAAATCATTTTAAGTGGTCTTAAGACACGTGTCCTGGCGGCACAATCTAATTGGGTTGACGACCTCAGGAAAGTACTATGGTCATGTCGCACCACACCCAACTCAGCCACTGGTGAAACTCCATTCTACCTCGCCTATAGAACTGAGGCCGTAATCCCAGTATAGATTGGTTTGTCATCCAACGGGTTAGTTCAATACAATGATCCTGATAATGAACAACTGCTGAGAGAAAACCTAGGCTTTGTTGAAGAAGTTAGGGAGATCTCTTGAATAAAAAACATGGCTTACTAGAATCACGTTGCTAGATTTTACAATAAAAGGGTGCAAGCTTGACAATTTCAAGTCGGCAACTTGGTTTTACACAAGGCTGGGCTCACTAACGCTTATTTGCACATGGGTAAACTCGCTCCAAACTAGGAAGGTCCTTGCATGTTACTTGTATTTAGCAACTTGGGTCTTATCTATTAGCAGATCTACAAGGTCGTCAATTACCATTCACTTGGAACATACATAACCTTAGAAAGTTTTATAATTAATATGTATGTTATTATCTTATCAACAAAGTGTATTCAAAATATGTGAAGGATATACACAATTCAATAAACGCAGAAATTCCATAAAATCTCCAAATTTTTATTTCTATTCGAAATTTGCACTTGAAGTATAGGAGACAACGATCTAAATAATAAATGAGTCAAATGACCAATACAAAAGTACAAAAGAAAAGAAATAATCCTAAACTAATCATCCGTCAGATCGATAAGGATGGACGCGTTAGCAGGCGCAATAGTAGGTCGAGCAGGAGATGACCAAGCTGGAGTAGAATGAACCAGAGAAAGGAGAGCTGGAGCGACGATGGGCTAAAATGAAGGGGGAATGCTTGATAGTTCAGCCTCTACCTCAAGGGGCTCTGCCACCCAAGCGTCAAAGCTTGGCAAGCCCTCGGTATCCTCCCCCTCTTCCACAATTGATGGAGGCCACACTAGCACTCCTTCGTTAAGTTCCCACCTCAACTTCACTGTAGCATCAGCATGAGGGGTGAGGCTTTTGCCTTGCTCGTCCATCTCTTCCCCTTCAAAGAGGACAACTCGCCAATGGTGAAATCAGCCCGGTGTCTCAGTACCTTACCACGAATTTCATTGTAGATAGCCGTGGTGGTATTCGTTGAGGCGATCGCCACTGCATCTTGGAACATCTCAGCTCCAACTAGCCACTCTGCCCCTTGTGGCCGGGCAATACAAACAAAGCGCTAATGGCACTTCTTGATTTTGCCCAACAATGCCTCAGCTCGGGCAACATTCCGATTGGCTTCTGCCACCCTATCATTTAGGGAGTTCAGCCCATAAAGGGCCTTATCCCTGTCTGCTTCAGCTTTTTTGGCCCGGTCTTCAGCACGAACGGCCTCATCCTTTGCAGCTTGCATGCCGCTATCCCTCTTGGCCTGAGCTTTTTCCAACTCTTCCTTCAGCTCGTTGACCTTTTGGGACAACCCGTCAGCTCGACTCTCTACTGACGCAGCTCTATTCGCCATCTCTAAGCTCTACAAACGACCGATCTCATCCTCTAAGCTTACCTTCTCAAAGGTTAGCTGTTTGCAGCTCTGATAGAGCTCGCGATTCTGCCCACGTGCCCTCTGCTCGCACTCAAAGAGTGCTATTGTGTAGCTGAATGCCGGCCATATAAGTTCAATTGTTAGTTTCTAACATAAACCTTTAAAGGTATAATAATATGCTTGCTGAGAATACTCACATCCATCAGTTTCAATAGGGCAGCATGACCCCCATGTTGCTAAATGTGCCCCTTTGCAGACTGCCGATCTGTAAGGGGCACAAAACTCTGCATACCTTGCACCATGGTGGCCTAGCAGTCAGTTTCTAACATAACTGAAGCCCTCAGGGTATGCAATCCTAGGCCCCGATACAGATGTTGAGGTAGGTGCTAGTTCAGCAACATCATGTGCCAGCACCGGTAGCATGTTGGTAGACCGCGTCGCAACAACTGGAACAGGCTGAGCCCGGGAGCTCGTCCTCCTCCGAATGAGTGGAATATCATCCTCTGCATCCGAGTCATCACGAGCACGCCTTCGAGAATCTGAAGGCTGAGTCTGTACTCTCTATTTAGCTCGAGATTTGGACACTGAGCTCGAGCCTCGCTCCCTCTATGATGAGTTGCGAGATGGCGTAGTAGGTGGACGCTTGTCAAAATGAGTTTGCCTTTGGGAGCCAGACCTAGCCCCACAGTTTCTCAAGCTTTGTGCTCGTTGATGTTGTCTCTCTAGTATGCTACTCATTTTTCCTGCACAAACAAATGCATAAGACTCAGATCGGCTAGAAATTACAGTATGCAATAGAAATATACCTTCAGCATACAGGTTTGCCACGTCGACAAACCCAAGTAATGTGAGCTGCTCCGGGGTAACCAGGGCTTCTAAATCTACTAATCCCTCAGCCTTCACATAATCCAACAATTGATTTTTCAGGTCGACATCACGAGGAGTCAGCTGAGGGTAGTTCATGTACATGTTTGGCACACGCCACTTAGATATACGGGCAGCGAGCTCATGATTCATCCTCTCCGTCCGTGTGTCACAAACAAAAATAAACTTTCTCTTCCACCTCGCCATTTTATTTCTGATGTTGGTAAAAAGCATCATCTTTTCCCTCCTGGAGATGTAATACCATTTTGTTCTGCTAATAGAGGGGCATAGGCAACACAAGAAGAGCGACCTGACACAACAGCATAAATCCTATAATGAACTTTATGCTGTTGGTGGTCAGCTGCGTTAGGGCCAGCTCATACTTTGCTAGAACGTCAAAAATCAGCCCAAGCAAAGGAAAACATAGACTGGCCTCAAAATGGTCTATGTATACTAGCACCCACCCTGTCGCAGATACAAAGCATGCTCTTTCATTCTTTATGCCAATTCGTACCAAGATCGTTATGGGAATTTGATAATCTCTCACCATTCCCTCCAATCTTTTATACCCCTTAATAGTAGCCGCACCGTCTGCTACCTCATGGTGAAGCGCCACCCTAAACATGAATCCAGCAAGCAAATCTTTTGGTGCTTTCCAAATATTGCTCAGCCTTCTACTGATAGTTTTGTTCTCCCAATCTGCAAACACAGGCACCGTAGAAGGGCTGCTAGCACCTTCTCCCTCATCCCCCGGACCCCCACCCCACTAGGTGTCCCTTTTGAAGATGAACCTGTAGAAGCGGTAGAATGAAAACCAGTAGAGCCACCATGTATATTCGTACTAGCGCTAATCTTCGGCGTAATAACTTTCAGTAAATCTTGTAGTTCCGGTGGTACTATCATACTAATAAGCTCCACCAATATAACACCCTCTTCTTCTTCCCTCCCCTGGTTACCCCGAAGCTCTCTTACATCGTGAAAAGAATCCATTTTTACCTGAGTTTTGGAAAGCTAATGTCTTTTCGCTGTAAAGTTCTGAGGAATACGCCTGAAACACCTCTATAACCTTCGCTGCGAAAAATGACAAAGAGTACTATGCAATGAAACAAAGAAATGGCTAAGTGAACGTTTCTGTTGCCTTTCTCACAAATTGCACTCCCGTAAATGTTGTACGTGTGTTTCTAGCCTACCAATTAAACGCCTACACGTGGCAGCCATTTACGGTTCAGTGCATAAAACCCGCCGCCTACAGCTGTCACATCCCCTCAAATGCTGAGCCAACATTTATTGCGAGAAGGCAGAAGACTATCCGTTTAGCAGAAGAATACCAAACGCTCTGAAACGTATCTCCTCAAAGATTTGCCTCAGTTTAAAATTTGAAAAATCCTAAAGGATCAGGTCGTAACAAAACGTATCTCCTCAAAGATTTGCCTCAATTTAAAATTTGAAAAATCCTGACAAATCAGGTCGTAACAAAACGCATCTCCTCAGAAATATGCCTCAGTTTGAATTTCGAAAAACACCAAGGATAAGCATGGTGACCTCAATGCTTCGCTCAAGAACTTTTAAAAGGCTGTCGTGGTTCAGATCGTCAGATGTTTGCTCGCTTTCACGATTAGTATAGACAAGCTCACTACATAACGCGTGGCACCTTGTATGTGACACACACCTTACCAAGAGATCTCATCTCTTCCTATATCTCCTTCATTTGGAAGTTGGAAATTCATCATGTGAGCTCGCCTTTACGAGCTCATTGAACTTGCTGATGAACATTGAACTCACACAAATAAGATTGTTTCAACATCGGCTCACCTACGCACGTTCGATGGGAAGTCGATATATCCATAGATACGATGAGATGAGGTCGCCCTAAGTTCAGGCCGCCTAGTTCGGCCATGGGTGAAGTCGCTCATAAAATCCAAAGGTGTTTACCCCCCCCATTCTCCAGGTCGAACATTGGGCCACAGGAACTTTTCACCCAGTTCGTCAACCGAACACAGAGGGGGGAGTAATGTTGGGATTGGGCCCAACATCCAATCCGGGCCATACACAACAAGCCCAGTTGTACACTCACGAGCCCAAAAGGAGGCAACATACCCACATGGGCAGTGACATGTGAGCCAATGGGATGCATACACGTGTGGACTCATGTCAGTGCATGGAGTTATAAATACCCCCAACTACCTCCATGCAAGATATTAACTACTACGCTTCTCTCTCTGCAATTACTCTTTGAGAGCATCTCTCTCTAGAATATTGAGTATTGCTAACTTAAGCGTCGGAGTGTTTTCCTTAAGGAAACATCATCGGGATTTTCAGGTGTTGAAACAGCTGAAGGTATCTACAGTATTGGATCGTGAAACTGTCCAAACACCCTGTTTATGGATGGTTTTCAACAAGAGAAGAAAAATGCTTATAAACTATTTTAAGTTAGTAGATATCAACTCAATCAGACTAAATTTTTGTTGGTATATACTCTCGCTTCTTCATTTACTTTCACGACTTTCCCGTTGAATTTTTGAAATTTGCATGCTAATAAATGAAATCATGTTTATTTGTTGGGGGCAGCTTCTGTTTTCAAGTTGTGAATCTTTTTAAATGAAAAATTAACATTGTTAATTGTTTTCACGTTGGCCAAAAGAAAAATCTTGTTTTTTTTACAAAAAATAATTTGTAGGCCCGAAGACATGGACAGGATTGTATGGCCTAAATCTTTTGTAATAATTGATTATAGTGTAGATCTTACGAAGATTCACAAGATCAATGGCCAAGATCATATCGACCTAGCTACTTTTCAACTTATTATTATCTCATTAGGCCCCTAAATCAGTGCTCTATTTTTCACATCACCCCTGTGATTATTGTTAATATTATATAATAATATTTGATGGAATGGAGCTGGGCAAAGCAAACCGATTTTCCCTTGGGACACATGCATGATGAGTGGGCAGTTGGGTATGATGTCTTCTCCATAGGAAGCGAAAAGACTTGGGTTGGTTTTGTCAAAAAAAACAACATTGGAGTGGACAAGTCTGTCTTAAATTGACTTGAAATTCCAGCATTTTCATATGGTTAATTTGGTTGACAATCAGTTTCTCTCCATCAGCTAGCTACACTCTTTTTACTCTTGCATTTTCTCCAGCTGGCCTATACGGATGCGCGTAATTAATGAAAGCCGGCATCAATCGACTTTCATTGAACATCATCATCATATGTATCTCCCATTCAGAAAAAAAATTAAATATGCTTGGATAATCATAATAATAACAGAGGCATAAATTTCAAAGGTTGGAACTTGCAAGTACCGTTGATTTATTGCTTTTGTTTCCTTTTCTTCAAGAGCCTGTGTGTGTCGTGGTACCCAGGGTGATGCAGTGCTCGTTTTCAAGCAATCCACCACAAGAATAAACGTGATAACTTAGTTATTATAATTAATATTCGGCGGATGGGGGTGGTGATATTAATTTCATTAGGTGTCGGAATTTAAGAGCAGGCTTAAAGATTTCAAACCTACTAAGCTCATCACTCTAGTTGGCAGGGGGGAAAATATGGTAATGATGCTATACAGTATACACATAACGTCACAGTATATTACACCAAGATGCATTCAAAATTATTAGTGAAAAGGTTAAAAAATTTATTAATAAATTTATGAATGAAAAGAATTAATTATAAATGTTATATCAATTGTTATGTTATATATTGTACCTAATAATAATTTTTTTTTTTGAACATATTTGCAATGAGCGGGTTTCGAACCCAGCCCGGGGAGGGAGAAATGCACCGAAGTGACTATTGTCACTAGGCCTGAAGGGCCAGGTGCGTACCTAATAATATATAATAAATATTGTGCTTGTAATTTTCATCTACACTCTAGTTTAATTATTATTAGGCACTAGTAGAAGCAAAATTGAATGATTTAAAACAATAGTGGGGTTATATATTTGGCCAATTATTTAATTGTGTGAACTGTGAAATTCATTACAACTTACAAACCTATTACTCTCCTTCTCAATAATTGAGTTTCTTCTTTATTCTTTTTTTTAAAAAAAAATTCTGTAGAATTCAAACCAATAATCTTGAATGCCCTTCTAATACTTGTGAATTTTAAGCCTATTTTGGTTTATAAGATGGTGATTATATTTAGAAAATGTTGTTTTCGAGTTTAAGTAAAGTTGAATTATCAATTACTTTTAAAAGAGAAATGCTCTTTATTCAATTTTTTTTTTATATATAAATAGTTATAGATGTATAATTTATATAAGTTAAACTTCATTTTTCTATTAAAAAGAAGATAGCTTGATAACATACCATTTTTACAGTTTTTTTATTGGAAAATATTTAATCTCAAAGTAAAGATGGGATAATAATTCACTATTATGGTTTAGTAAAACTTGAGTTGGTGATGAGCAAATCACCGAGGATTTGGCAAAAGATCAGTTCCATGCCACAAAACTTAAAATGGGCAAAAAGGCTTGTCGAAGTTGATTAATTAATTAATCAATCAACTACTTCAAAGCCAAGAAACCAATGTGAGTACTTTTGCTAGTTGAAGTACAAAATATATATTGTCATCACTGAAGTTTAGGCCTTTTTGTGGTGATACATATATTTGAGTATGAATTAAATTAGTATAAGAGATTAGTAAAAACAAAGAATCCAAAGGAAACATTCATCAATGGCTGTCCGATCAAGAAGCAAGGCAACTTGATGGCTTCAGTGCTTCACCAGTTGAAAATCCCACCCTGCCCTTCCTCATTGAATTGACCAAGTACCAAGTGATTCTTTAATTTAACCATATTGTTTGCACCCCTACAATATTAGAAAAAAATGCGTTATTTCTGCAAAGTTTTGAATCTAAAAAACAGTAAGTGGGGAAGGAATTGTCAGCAAGATTTTGGCCTTTTTTGCGTTCTCATCACGCACCATAAATTCCCCACTAAGGCTTTCCTTCTTCATTAATTGGCGGTTACTAAGAAGTAACCACCTTTGTCGCTTTACAAACGGATGCTCTCGGAAAACTCATGCACTCTTGACTCAACACACTTGCCAAATTTCCCATCTATCACCAAAGCCAAATATATCTTAGGAACAATTATATACAAAATGCTGCAAGATCAGAAGAGAACCCTCAGCTTCCTCCACCTTCAAACCTCATGGAAGTCTCAAGTCATGCTTTCCGAGCTCAAGAAACAGAGAGGAATAGCACTTCCCCTGGTGGCTATGAACTTAACTTGGTTCGTCAAGATTGTAGTAACGACGATATTCCTAGGAAAGTTAGGAGAGCTGGAGTTAGCTGGAGGGACACTGGGATTCACCTTTGCTAATGTCACTGGCTTCTCCGTCTTGAATGGGCTTTGTGGTGCCATGGAACCGATTTGTGGTCAAGCTTATGGAGCTAAAAACTTTAGGCTCCTGCACAAGACTCTTCTCATGGCAGTTTTTTTGTTGCTATTAGCCACCTTGCCTATTTCTTTCTTGTGGCTTAATGTCGACAAAATTCTGATCCATTTCGGCCAAAAGGAAGACATTTCAGCTGTAGCGAAGACGTATCTTTTCTATCTCCTTCCTGATTTGGTGGCCACTTCATTGTTGTGTCCTCTCAAAGCCTACTTGAGTTCCCAAAGTATTACAGTTCCCATAATGTTGAGCTCAGCTCTTGCCCTTGCTTTGCACATACCCATCAACATCTTTCTTGCAAAAATAAAGGGTATTCAGGGAGTCTCTATGGCAATATGGATAACTGATTTCGTACCCGTAATACTCCTAGCTTTGTATATGTTTGTGATAGAAAATAAAAAAGAGGGAAGGTGGGAGCAGGGAGGGTGGCTGGACCAGGGTGCTCGAGACTGGCTCAGGCTATGCAGGCTGGGCGGTGCATTTTGTCTCACAACCTGTCTTGAATGGTGGTGCTATGAGATCTTGGTCTTGTTGTCAGGAAGGCTAGCCAACGCTAAGCAGGCGGTAGGAATCTTAGCCATTGTGCTGAATTTCGACTACTTGCTCTACGCAGTGATGTTGGCTCTAGCCACGTGCGTGTCCACAAGGGTGTCGAATGAGCTAGGAGCAAATCAACCTGTGTCCGCATGTCGGTCTGCGTTTCTGTCACTGGCTATGGCTGCAGTTTCAGGTTGCATTGGAGGATCGGTGATGGTTGGCGCAAGAGGCACCTGGGCATCTTTGTTCAGCCATGATAAGGGAACCATCAAAGGTGTGAAGAAGATCATGCTACTAATGGCTGCAGTGGAAATTGTAAATTTTCCTTTGGCGGTCTCTGGAGGAATCGTCCGTGGAACAGCTAGGCCTTGGTTGGCCATGTATGCCAATCTTGGTGGGTTCTACCTCTTAGCTTTGCCCTTGGGTGTGATTTTAGCCTTCAGGGCTGGTCTTGGGCTAAGTGGCTTGCTGCTAGGATTTCTGGTTGGGATGGTTGTCTGCTTGGTGTTGCTGCTGGTATTTGTAC